AAAAAAAAAAAAACTAAATGAGGCAGGAGGGAAGGGGGACATTATGTACATGATGGCAAAGAAAAGCAATTTGAATATCTACAAAGGCTCCCACTCATGACCATTTGTTTTTAAAGTGCTGTATTTAAAGTATGTCCTTCTTAAACATCCTTAAAAGAGCATTCGACCATTTTGGGAAATGTGCTGGTTTGCTTTCCCCCCCAACAGTTAGATAAGAACACTGACACCACTCTACTGGCACCTTGTTAAAGAGGAAGCTGGATACAGCAGCTGGTTAGCTTAGCTTGGCATTAAGACTGGAAACAAGGGAAACAAGCTAGCCTGGGTCTGACCTTGGGGAAGAAAGTCCACTTACCGGTATTTATAAAGTTCACAAATTTTTAGATTATATCTTGTTTGTGTAATCTGTACAAAAACAAAAGTGTAAAAATGAAAAGAAAAGGGAAAAAAAAGCTGAGTCTTCTATGTTTTAGACAGAGCCAGGCCACAGCTTCCCACCCTAAACATCTCTTGGCTGTAGCTGAGTTTGGAATAATGTTATTTACAAATGTATGCGAGCATGTTAAATCTGTTAAAGGATTTCTTTGCTTGTTTTTTTGCCACTTCGGGGCATCAGAAGAAACAAGTCCTGAACACAACAGTCCAACCATGTCTCCACTAAATGACATCCCAATACGACTGAACTGCTTCAACAGCATCATTGAGAACACAGTTTAGTTGTATAAGAATGTAATTTTGTGGATCCCATATGATGCTTTTTTGAGTTTTCCCTTTTCTTCAGGGTGCTAGCTTTATCGTGCATGTCAAACGCCTGCATAGTTTGAAAGACCAAACTCCACACCAAAGGGAGTTATTCTCTTCCACTGTTCTTTACTGTTCATTAAATGCCTTATTTAAATTCCAGGCTTTTCTTCCGTTACTTATCTATGTCACCATGTAACTCATTTACATATTCCCAGCTTAGCAGCTAGTTCGGCCCTCAAACAAAAAAATGAGCAGGCCATCATTATGTGCTCACTAGAGCCACTTCTGCTGGGGCTATGTTTCTCTGTCTGTACTTGGAGATCTTGATTAAGGTACCAATGTTGTCTCGCTTTCTTCATTACTATTCAGTATATTCAGACTGAGCTTTTTGGGAGCGCGATCTTAAAGAGACAGGTGCTATAGCAGAGTTTCAGAGAGAAGACGAGAAAAGATGCTGCCTCAGTCTGAGAAAAACACTGTGTTTTTTTAAACAATTAATTATTTAAACATTTTCTACCAGACCTCAAAAATAAACAGATTAACCTGTACATGTCCATAATATGGGCTCTTTAAAAACAGTTCCATTACCTTTATTTTTAGTGTCAAGTTCTGTTTTCACTCGCCACTTAAAAGTTCTATCTGATCTCATCTCATTTCATTTTTGCTCACTGTTTGGTTGAATTTAGGCCCCAAAACTACTCAGGTTTAAGAAAATCATGTTTTTTTTTCATGTTTGTACAATAAATGACAGATAAATTGATTAGAAACACATTTGATATGTCACAAACAATCTACATCTCAAAAACTGTAATTGATGATACAGTTCAGATGTGATTGGGAGACAGGGCTCAGCACTGACATTCCACCTTTTATATCAATGTGGAAGATTTGTTTGCAAAAGTTGCTTTTTTATACATCCAGCAGCTACATACTGACTCATGTTTCCAGCTTCCTGGTAAATATAAATCTAATATTCAGTCTCTTTCCCTTTGCTCTCCTAAAGGGAAAAATTGGGCTCTTTAGCTGATGCTAACTGTTTCTCAGATAGTTTACATCAGAGTTTTAGAACTTTTTCACAGAAAGCAGCTGCAGTTATAATGACACTTTATAAAATGTGAGTGAACTAGAACAGTAATGCTGTGAGCTAGATGACCAAACAATCACCTGAAACTCACTATAAAGCTCTGAGCAGCCACAATGAGCTGCATACTTGGGTGGCAGTTTTCTCTGGGATTCATGAGCGACCTTTGTCACATCATCCCAATGTTTTTATTGTGTCGGATGATACCTTTGTTAATATAAAAATAATACATATCTTACAATATTACAATATTACAGCAGCTTTAAAGAAGAAATAGTAAAATGTGAATAAGTTAGAAATCATTGACATTATGTAGGTGCCATCAGGACTGTAAAAGCTTATTTGAGTACATGTTTATCCTCATGAAGTAGAAGTAAAAAACAAGGCGGGAATCCCAGCTTCATTTATAGAACTGATCGGACCAAAGAAGGAACTGCTCGGCGACAAGACAGCTCAGCACCGCAGTAGAGCGCTGGATATCTGAAGTGAATCGCATGAAAGGCATTCGCCCGATTGTTCTTCTTCAGTGCACCGACTTGAGTAACACTAAGATAGCGATCTATTATTTTCTTTTACAGCTTTGAGTCAAAGAGAGGACACTTACTTCCTCTTCTGTACAGTTGGGGGTGCCTCGGGCCTTGTGGTCTGGAAAGCTTAACCACAAACTGTAGTACAAATAAATCTTTAGAGACCTTTACAGTTGTGCTATTGAAGAGGAGATAATGACCTACAATCCCAATTAAACAGCCAAACTTGTGTTAGTTCAGTGTATTTATGTTTTCTGCAAAGCTGCAGTTAAAATGAGTGGCAGAAAAAAAAGAAAGAAAAAAAGTTGTTGTGCGTTGGAGGCGCGTATTTGACCTAATCCAGGATCATCTGACAATAAGAACAGAAGCCAGCAGTGGAAAAGACTGTCAGCCTGTTGACACAGTGTGGTGACGGATACGGCTAATGGATTAACAAGCTTAGTGTAGCTGTTACATTCAACTCAGCGTCAGTGACATTAAGGAAGTGAAGCTCATCACACACTTAAAGGTAGTAAATGACGTGTGTGCAGTTTAATGTGACATTTTGACAAATATTTTGCATGATGTAATGCTGAAGTAGGTCTTTTCCTGTAGTTATACATGTATGTGTGTGATTGTTCACATGTGTGTGGCTCTAACAGAGTTCTGATCCCTGGATGGCTTCGACACACAGGCACACTTTTCAGCTCCTCCCCTCTGCCTTCAGCCAGGGTGTGATTACAGCCAATACAATCTTGGACAACCTGCACTGAGAGAGAGAGAGAGAGAGAGAGAGCGAGAGAGAGAGAGAGAGAGAGAGAGAGAGAGACCAAAAGAAAGAGTGGGCAGTCACCCTGGTGCACTCTGGTGGTTCTTGCAACAGCGTCACTGTTTGCTTGATCTCCAGACAGTCCAACTGAGGCATTGTGGCTCATGCAAGATTCAGTGAAAAAAACAATCCCAGCGGGACGTTTGTAAATGGACAAGGCTGACTTTTCTTCTCCAAAACTTTTTTTTTTTTTCCTGCTTGATATTTAGATATTTTTACTGGATTCTCGAAAGCACTCCAACTCTTGTGAAGTAATGTCGTTTTACTTTGTGGACGGTTAGGGATCATCTTTTTTGGAAAACAAGTTGTCTACTAGAACCTCCGAAAACAAAGATGGAGAGCATCTACTCCCTTCTGAGCACCGTGTGTGAAATGTAAGCAATAACTGCCAAGAGAGAAGAACTTCATCAGCTTTGAATGTTGTGCAGATTTGTATGATGCTTGTAGGAAGTTAAGAATCTTCAGTTGCGTTACCTTTGATGTGAAAACAAGCCACCTTCAACTGCTTGTGACTGACGTGAATAATGGATGTCAACCTGAGCCTTTCAACACCCCCTGGGATGAACGCAACAGAACCCTACCACAAGCCGGTGGGACCCTGGATCCTCATCGTACTGGTCAACATCATTCTGATCATAGTGGTGGGGAACATGCTGGTTATTATCGCCATAGCGCGCACTTCCCAGCTACAAACCACGACAAACATCTTCATAATGTCCCTGGCGTGTGCCGACCTCATCATGGGGGTCATTGTGGTGCCCCTGGGGACCACTATTGTGGTGACAGGTGACTGGAAACTTGACGAAACGTCCTGCGACCTCTGGACTTCTGTTGACGTCCTCTGTGTGACGGCCAGCATTGAGACGCTCTGTGTAATATCAGTGGATCGGTATATAGCCATTACAAGGCCACTACGGTACAAGGTTCTGCTCAGTAAGTGGCGTGCCAGAGTAATAGTTTGTTTAGTGTGGGTTGTGTCCACCTTAATTTCCTTTGTGCCAATTATGAAAGGGTTCTGGAAAGCAGACAAAGAAGACAAAGAAGCAGACTGGTGCTACGGTAATGTAACATGCTGTGACTTTGTGACCAATGGTGCCTTTGCTATTACATCTTCTATAGTTTCTTTTTACATTCCGCTGCTCATAATGATTTTCGTGTACACAAAAGTCTTTGTGATAGCGACGCGGCAGGTCCAGCTCATCGATAAGAATCGAATGCGCTTTCAAAATGACTGTCTAACAGCACAGATGCAAGTTGTCCCCCACATCAGCAATATCCTGCCATCGACATGTGCAGGCTCCAGCAACTTCAACAACGCAGCGAGGAGGAAAAGCAGCAAGCGGAGGCCATCACGGCTAATGCTGGTCAAAGAGCACAGGGCCCTGAAGACTCTGGGTATCATCATGGGGACCTTCACCTTGTGCTGGCTGCCGTTCTTCGTGGCCAACATCATCAATGCCTTTAACAGGGAGGTTCCCCCAGAGTGGCTCTTCAGACTGTTAAACTGGCTGGGTTACATCAACTCCGGCCTCAATCCCATCATCTACTGCAGGAGTCCAGAGTTTCGTACGGCGTTCAAAAACCTGCTGGGCTGCCCGTGGGTGTCCACGTTGTGGCTCAATACTTTCTATAAAGAACTTCGAACTCGCTGCTCCTGCTTTGTGTGGCAGGCTGAGTCAGGCACGGCCAGCTCTTTCCCGAAGTCTCCCACCAGTAACGCTGAGGGCACTGAGAGTCTGGCCAGTACGCAGGGAAGCAGCAGAAGCGAAGAGGTTTCGCCTGGTCCTCTGCAGTCCAACGGCAGCACACAGTTCAGTGACTTTTCCGAACCAGAAACCGAAATGTAAGTTCCTTTGTCTTATTATTTTTAATGTGTGTTTAATTTTTCATTGTGATCAAAGCTTTTTTAAAAAAACATCTGCTTTCTACTAACACATAAACTAAATGTTTCTCACTCATCCAATACTAAAGTGTAGCCACTGTTTGAAGACAGTGAAGTGTATAACTCCAGCTGCTACCATACACCTTCTGTCATACACAACAGCAACACACTTATCTGACGCGATTGCTTTCATGGTGATCAAGACAACATTAATGTGCATTACCGCAAAGTCACAGAAAGTGCTTTACTTTTCAATTTCGGTTGAATAAAACACATTTTATGATCTCACACTGAATACTACACGAGGAAATCTGAATGCATCTGCATAATCAGACTTTTGATCAAATCTCTGTGAAACTGAAAGGACAGTGAGGTCTATCAGGGACTCGGTGACTTTGGCAGATTTCTTTTTTTTCTTTTGTCTCTTCTTGTTACATCTCTTACATCCATGTGGATCAGTGACACTGTGAAGCAGAAGTGAGGAAGCTTTACTTAAATTACAGTTTAAATCACTTTTGACATCTTGATGCAGACTACACAATGACAATGACAAAGACACGCCTACACATTAGTACTCGTGTGCTTGTTTCAGTTTGACAAAAGTGCCAACAAAATTAAAAAAAAAACTAAGAAACAGAAAAGTTATAATTTTCAGTCATTAGTCAACTCAGTAATTATTTTACAAATGTGGCTCATGCAGATTACAAGCTGTGAAAAGACATCGTTGTCACTAAAACTCTTATTTTAAGGGAAATATTAGGTGCATTTTAATATATTCAGTTTTTGCAAAAACAAATAAGTTTTTCCCCTTTTAGCAAATGTGGAAAGATTTAACTCTTGCTTGCGTTTGTATCTACAGCATAAATACATGTACTAGACATCCAAAATACTTTCAAAGATGTTTTAAAATAGTCCTAGGAGTAAAAATAAAATTTTAGAAAGTTTGAGTTTGACAGAAATCTGCTCTGATATTTTGTGTATTTAATGAAAGTCAAAATTCATATTTGGACACGTTTTAATACATCCCGCAGTCCAGGAGAAAAACATATTGAAAGGAAAAGTGCAGAAAATGAAATCATTTCTGAGGCGCTGGCAGCTGTTGTTGCTCTGACAGTATTACAACACTAAAGTGAAACTAAATATTGGACTTTTCATGCATGATTCAATAACCTGACTGTACCTGTATCCCTCACTGCAGTGTGTTACCTGGAATCAGTCTGTGAATCCAGATGGTATTAATCTAGAAAAATAACTAATTAATATCAGCAGCGCAGTTGCTGCTAATGGGCTTGCAGTGGGTATTAGCTTTTTAATTTAGGAGTTTAAAAAAAGAACCATGCATTTAATAAACGAATGCCAATAAATAATTTTGGATTTTATAGAAATGTCTCTATTGTAAATGTAGCCTGTTTCGTCATTTTCATAATCTGGCATCTGATAAAACTGTAAAGCGTCTCTGTAAACCCACAGGGTGATGTGCAGACGGCTGATTTGATGTACAGAAGCACACTGACATGTCGGTCGAGTGTCTGTCTGCCCGTCAGTGGGCCTCAGTGCGCCCTGCCCAACACCCCCTGCAGCAGATAAATCTTTATCACTTATGCACAAGGCTTCCCCCGTAACTGGCTGATTACAAGAGTGGCAACCAATGAGGACGCTCTTGTTAGCGCAGGTCAGCTGGGGTTGGACGGCCAAATTGTTGATTCATGACGATTCACAAACACAAGTTGACAGCAGGCCTGTTACAAAACAAACAGGAAACAGCAAAATTCTAAGTAATTACATCACTGGCAGAGTTTTGTTTTTTTTTTTTTATTTTTTTAGCAATCTGTTGCTTATCTGTTTGGTGATTTTTTTGGCCCTCATTTTGCTTCTCGGCTACCTTTTCTGTCACTTTTGTTGTCTATTTTTTGCTTTATCTTTTACTCTCTTTTTTTCCCAAATTCCGTTAACATTATAATAAAAATATGTTTAAACAGCTTTCATCATACAACCAGATATTCCACTAGATGTCTAACTAATAGCTTTCTGTTTATTCAATTCCAGACATTTGAACAACAGAAGTCTAAATAGCCAGGTTAAACAAACAAAACATTTTATAGTGGTTGTTCACAGTGTAAAGACTTGTGTCTTTCAGCTAATATTTAATCACCATGTTTATTTAATGTCTCCAATACACAGCATACCTGAAGGTTTTAAGTGCTGTTGTGTGTCACAGATTAAGAGGTTTTGCAAGAGGGGAGTTTAAAATTGTAGCTTGTGCATGTGAATTTAATTCAGTTCAATTTCAATTCAATTTTATTTACATTGCGTGAATTCACAACACATGTCATCTCACAGCGCTTAACATAGTAAAGTACAGGCCTTTTAAACAGAGAACCCAACAATCCAAAGTTGAATTTATATCAGCTTGAAGCTGTATTTGAAGCTACAAAATTTAGATAAACCAATATATTTTATTTAAGTAATGTACATCAAAATGTAAAATAGGTTTTAATTTCAGAATTTAAATTCAAAACCTGTGAATTCCCATGAGCCGCCCAGTTTTATGAACTGGGGGATGTTTTGTTTTAAATATTTACCCTGCACTCTATATATCATTTTTCTCTTCTCCTTATATGACACTCCCTTCGTGGAATTTCACATAATCAATGGGGCTGTAAAGCAGGAGACATTTAGGAGGATATAAAAGTCTTCCTTAAAAGGAGCCTGGTGTGTTCTGTAGTAAATCAGCCCAAGCGGAAGGCTCAGCGACTCTCCCTGTGCTTTGAGCAGGATTACAAATGTTAAGTGAGACCAGCCGCTCGAAAGCGACTCTGACAGGTCCGAGGCTCGAAGACAGATTTAGTGGAGGAACATGACAAACTGCCCCAGATACAGTCTGCGCTGCTTCAGAGGGTGAATATTGCCATCCTTCTGCATCTGTTACAGAAAGTAAACCTCCTCAGTCGTTCATTTTAACCTTCACGTATTTCCGTAGAAACACACAAAAAGCAACTGAGCAGCAGATTTTTTTTGCACTCAGAGACAACATGCGTCACCAAGGTTAGCTAAGCCAGGAGCTGATGTGTCGCAGGGCTGATGAAAAGTGCAGCAACTGAGATGAATGGTTTCTAGGGTAGAATGGTTTCACTGCGCTGCACAGAGCAGACATTATCAATAGTTGCCGTGTTTTCATATAACACATGCTGGCATATCAGCGCTGCCCTCATCAACAAGCAGAACAACCTCCAGCTTCTGTCACGTATGCTCCACCTTGTATGACAAACACACTTCTTCATGGATTCCCTGCACAACAGTTGTGTGTAATAAATGAACAGACCCGAACTAATTTGACTTCAGTTGTGTTTTCCTTTATTTTCATCCGTCATGTGGCTCTTAAAATAGAGCTCATACGTGTATTGGAGATATTTGAGACAAAATCTGCATGTAGTTGAAAGGCCTGGCCGTGTGTTATGAGCAGAGGGAGTTTGTTAGCACAGTTTATCCATGATTGAGAACACTAAAATTAAGCTAACAGAGAGCGGAACATTTTATTTCAAAGAGCGGCAGCCAGTGAGGCTGTGGACTAAATTGCGGGCTGAATGTGAGCAGGAATGAAGAGTCTCTGTTAGATGCCTCACAGATCAGAACACTCCTCTGGAGTATAGAAAGATGACAAATATACCTGCAGAGTCACATTACAGCAGCCAAACAGGCATGTGAGAGCATAGAACAATACCTTTATTATTGCTGAGCTGATGCATAGTCTATAGAAACACACTGTGCGCTCCTGCTGTGCTGCTGCATCACAGCTAAAGCATTAAGAGGAGACAACTTGTCAATATGCTACTGAGGAAACAAACGCACCACTAATTACTAAAACTGTCAGAGGACGAATGTTACTGAAATAGTTTTGAGATCACACAGGAGCAAGAATTCACTGAGGCTCATCCAAACAGATTTTGCTCCGAAGCAACATCTGATGGGTCACAAAAAGTATTGAAGGCACTGATCTACAGCTGAGAATAGATTCGTTTTTAATTTCATTGCCAGCAGGCAAAAAAACAAAAAGACAAATTTGCTTGTAACATAGAAAAGATTAAAGAAAATTAAACATATGTTCACATTCTCAGCTTGTGTACTTAGAGCTTGTGAGCTAATAAAGCACAAATAACCAGACGTTATACAAAAGCCCAGAGAGATGGTGGAGAATGACACTTGCAGTATAAATACCAGCTCACTTAAGTCACTACAAGTGGCTCATTACTCCAAATGATTGTGTAAATATTTCAGGCATATGAGTTGACAACTCATAAGAACAAATCTAAGAGCACAGTGTGTTTATAAGCCTGGCATCTCAGGTTTACACTGTAAGTAGCTGTGTGTAAATGGAACAAACTGTATCATTATGCTGGCTAAATGTGCAGATATAATTACATTTCACACACATCCATGCTGTATCCTTCCAGAGCGCCCAATGTTTTATTAATGCACACTTTGTTGGTGTCAAAACACAGCTTGCGGTAAATATAGTAGCGTGGAAACAGCTCTTCTCACTGTGTTGTACGTTGTGCAAGTGATTGACAAGCGAGTTACTCTGCTGAGCTGCAGCAGTGTGGCAGCTTTCAGCAACATGTCATTTCAAAGAGGCCCGAATGTGTAACAAGCTAAAGCGCAGCGTGAGCATATATCATCAGGCTCACGTAAGGGAAACTTGACGTCTTGAATGCCCTGCAGGAGCGGCCGACGTGCACTAATGCTTTTCTTCCTGTGAACCCTGTGATTCTGTGCTTTTCTCTGCAGTATGCTAATTGCACTTCACACACCCTGGCCTCCATAATGCGCATTCAGTCACCTTAAAAGTGAGGTCAGGCAGCGGAGAGCACGGAACAAGGAGCGGGATAAAGCACAACAGGGTCGCGGCGAGCTGTGGGAAACCTCCAACGTTGCCTCTCAAGCCTGATATCACAAGCAATCACACTGCATCACGGCCTTTAAATGGACGCATCCGGGAGTTGAGCAAACACTCGAGAACTATATAACTCTGAAATGTTTCGGATCGGACAGATAAAAAAAGCAATAAACCATAGCTGGATATTATTTTGCTCACTGGTTGCTATCGCTACGACTAAAATCAATGCCACGTGATTTACACCCTCATTAACAAGACTGTGTGTTGGACTAACAGCAACATTATTCAATATTTATGTTTCCAGTAACATTTAATGGAATCAGGGGATTTGAAAAATCATAAAAATGCAGCCCTAGTGTATTGATAAACTGTACTCAGAGGAAGACATGGACTTGCAGTTTGAAATATAATAGTTGAACTACATGAGCTGAAATCCATATAATGACCAGTTTAACACACACACACACACATATATATATATACACAGGCCTACATAATAAATAGGCTATTATATGACATTTCCTCTCACGTGCTGGTTTTAGCTTTTATGCGTTTATTGAAATTCACATCAGTGTAAGTAATTACAGCTTGTGGGCTTCTGTGCTGGATTTGACATTGAATGGTTAGTTCAGTGTGCTTGTAAATGGCTGTTCTAAGTTAAAGCATAAAATTGAATTTCTCTAATATATCTAGGCCAGTAAGAGATTCACAGTGCTAGAAATGATGATAAATGAGGTGTATGATCAAGGCCTACTTTGAAATACCTTTCCATACAAAATAATCTGTAACAGAATTTCGCTCCTGTTCTATAATCACATTCTGTGTCACAAGCATTTAGTTCAATATGTTTTGATATTTAGCACAAAAACAACCACCAACTATAAAAACCACAAATCACTGAAAACATACAAAGCAACTGATTTCTATTTGCAGCGCTTACATCAGTGGATTCCATCCTGCTCTGACAGGATGGTTAGACACAGAAAATACAGATGATGGATGAGTTTTCCTTAATTTCGACGAGCTCAGCTCCTTTACTTGAGTGGAAACTGCAAACTAAGTGCACGCATGTCTGTGGTTTGTAATTTTAAATGATTCATTGACTCAAGTGTGAGAGTGAGACTCAACAGAATATAACAGTACGATGAAAATGATTCTGGGAGGTTTTGTTCATGAAATCGTACAAATGCACCATCTTAACATGCGCCTCATCCACAGGCTGCAGGTCAACTAGACAGAACACAACAAACACTCTACTTTCTCGGAGTAAATACAGTGAAGTTGTAAAAGACTGTGGCAGTTCTGATGAAACCCAATTTTAAACTGTTTGCTGCACATCTCCCCCCTATATGCATTCACATTTCTGTGAAGCTCCGAGGTAGTTTATGTCTTCCTGTGGAGACATGTACAGACGACGTGATAGCATCAGAATTCTTGTCTTGCTGAGGTGGAGGGGGAGGAGTAGAGTTTCACAAAGGATAAAAAGGATGAGGGCAACTATGCAAAAACTTACTGTAATTAGCAAGAAAAACTAAAAGGAAGAGGTGCAGAGACGACATGGGGGCTGTTTTCCACCTGAAAACACACTTACAGGTAACCTGTAAGACGACAAACCGCGACTGCTGACTTGATGGTTTTTTTGTTTTTTGTTTTTTTTTTATCTGATAGAGACTGAAATGTTGTTCAGGGTGTGACCAGATCAACAGGTCTCACGGTAACACACAGAGAACAAGCTCATTTGTTCCTATGGTCACGTCTCACAGGGCTCCACAGCAAATCAGAGACATAACAAGGTCCGTAATGAGGTAGCAAAGCTGCCTTCACTGTCAGGTATTTTCTCTGATACTGAAATCAAATTGAACTAAAAAATAGATCATGTGCTAAATATTTATTACATGTCAATATATTTGAGTCACGTATTCACAGAGAGCTGCTGGGTCCTGCCAGTGGGGAGTATTTCTGCCAAAAGTATGGGAGAAAAAAATGGATTTACTGGGTTTTCATGTATATTTATGTTGTAACTTTACTTCAAAATTAGTCTGGCTAATACCAGTAATTAATAATACTTTATGGTCTTAGCATTAATATTTAGAATAGTCAGATAAACTTGCATTTTCTATGTTATTAAAGGGGAGGTTTAATCTTTAACATTTACTCAGATAAATTCACATCCCTGTAACCTCAATATTTCAACTTGTTTGGTTAATTTGTAACGTCAGTCTTTTTTTCTTCTTCTGGAAAGTACTTTGGCTCAATGGCTGTCGCTTTACATATGCTGTATGACTAAAAGAGACTACTTGTCGTTCTTCTTCATCTTTAGAAGAGAGACTAAAAACAGAATGGGATTTTATTTCCTCCCAACGTGACATCACCGTATACCTTAAAATACACAACGTACATATGAATCACATGTGGGATTTGCTCTTTTGCAAGAGAAACATCATCATTACATCATTCAGAGACAAACCCTCCATACTAATACGTTCGTCTCTTTTCAGTTTAACGCTGCAGGAAACGGACGGATGAACTGAAAAATGCCAATCTACTGAAGCGAGCACATTCTCTGCAGTTGTTGCTGTGATCACTGCGAAGTCCAAGATCAAGCAGCAGTGAAGACAAGCTAAAGAAAACTACAAGCACCGGCCCTGAAAAACACAACCAAACAAAGCCAGGCCCAGACAGATGACTGGACCGACTTGCAGAGAACCAGTCGGTTTGGTCTGGACACTGTGACTGTTAGGGTGGACTGCTGCAGCTCAGCAGACATCAGCTGATTCCACAGACAAACTGCAAAACTGCCATCCATGCATACTGTTTGCAAAAGACTCTAAGACAAGCTTTAAACGCATTCCAGTGAAACATTGGACGCAGTGTATGTGGCCTATGGTTTCCAAAAATGTCAGCATAAAGTAATTTTGTAAAGTATATTATCTGTTAAGTTATGTATTTATGATCCACCGAATCTGTAGCAAAGTACAAGAGTTGACTAAATCTGTAAAGACTGTCTTCACTGTACAACCATTTGCGTCACACAAACTTATCTGTGAATTATCAGCTAAGCCATTAAGCTGTATTGAAATGCTCAAACCTCTGTCTGTTTAAAGTCTTAATGTCTCTGTTTTGAGCCTGAGCTCGGTGTCCGCACAATAGTTCTGTTACTTAAATCCCTGAATCGGTGTTAAGTTATACCATGACACAAAAAATTGCTTAGTACACCTTAAATATAATTCCAGCCATTGGTATATTGTACAAGGTACAGTATGATAAAACTGCAGGTAAATATGGCAAACCTGATTTACTTTGCTAAGTGAATAAGTTCAGTGATGCACCCTGAAATGTCCAATTATAGAAAAATAATGGGACTAGATGGAGGAAGTTTAGCCTGCAAATGATTCATTATTTTCTTGTAATGAGATACCCTGTGGTGTGGTGTTACTTACAGAGCATCTTCTGTTGCATTGAGAAATAAAATATTATAAAACTGTGCTACATTGGTCATATGTGATCTGTGTGTAAAACTAAAATGATTTAATGTCATGGTATGATTTTTTTCAGTGCCGAGTTGTCCTCAAATGTATTCATACCCCTCCATTAAAGAAAAAGCAAAATTCACAACAGTCACTCAAATAACTAGAAACTGAAAAAAGTAATAATAAATAAAAATTAGCTAAATTATAGTTTAGTGAAATAGGACATTGCTTTGAATTGTGGTTGAAAAAAAGAATTTAAAAAAACAAACAAAACGTTCCAGGACAAATCAGAGCACTTTGCTGATGAGCAGTGGGCCAAAATCAGAATACCTGTCAACAGGTGCAGAAGTCTGACTGAGAGTTACAGAAAACACTTGATTGCCTCAAAGGGTTGTTCAACAAAATATTAGTTTACGGGTCACATCATGCTTGTTTGCTTGTTTGCTTGTTTTTGTTTTTAAATATTTTTGTTCAACCACAATTCAAAAGCAATGTCATGATTTTCATTCAATTTTTATTTATTATTACTTTTGTCAATTTCAGCTTATTTCAGTGACAGCTGTGTTTTTCCTTCTTTAATGGGAGGGTATGAATACATTTGAGCACGACTGTAGACTCAATTCTTCCAGTTTTCTTCGTAAAATTGAAATCAGGTCAACATTGACAGTGGTTTCCAAACCTTTGGGCACATAATAAAAAGAAGCATTGTTAATACTTTTGGGCCTTCATTGCAGGTAATGACTAGAATGTGGATGTGAATTTTCTGCTTGTGAAAGTGTACATTACTTTAACAAGAAGGAAATTTTGAAAAAATAAGGATGGTTTTGTGTTACAGTATTATATTTTTTTTCTTTCCTCTTCCTTTGATCCACTTAGTTTCATCTTGAGATGCTCTGAGGGGCTCCTGACCCTGACACTGGGAACCGCTGATTGACCAACGTAAACCACATGTTGAAATGATTGTAAAGATTGTAAACAATTTATTTTTCCAATGCTATTTTAACTCAGCCTCTGCCCACCGGAACCGCTGTCATTTCTGGCTCTGCTACGGTCTGAGCAAAATAAACCCCCAACAGAATGCAAGACATTTGAAAACAAACTGTGACCAGCAATAGCTCTGCCAGACTCACTGCATGACTACTGAAACATCATCCAGCAAAAAAAAATAAAAAATCCACAACAAGTTAGAGTGGAAACAATCACTGAAGTAAAGCCGCGTCCTTATCAGCCGATTCCTGCCACAATGTTTTCCATTAGAACGATCAGATTAACATAATTCTAAATACTTTTTTAGGGGGGAAAAGAGAAGTCATTATTTAAAGTAGAATTGAAAGAGTGTGGTAAGATACAAACTCCTGGTTCACTATTATTGGGATTGATTTAAAACACAGACACACATTCACTAGTGTGCACAGTAATTATCAATATACTAAATATTGAACACATAACTCAAACTTCTTTTCTACTTTTTTTGTTACAAGTAATGACTTTATCATTTGCCAAAAACAGTTTTTTGTGTGTGTTTCGGGTGTTTTCTATGAAATGTGATAAAGGAACACGAATGTTTGATTAAAGATTTATAGTCTGGGATCTATTCTGAAGTGTGTCACACTTTTCTCTCTTGTCTCTTGATTGCAAAGCCTTTTAAATGTGCAGTTTAACACAACTTTTCTGCCTCAGTGTGCCTGAGGCGGTGTCACTGCACGGTTCCCGTCAGGACACACAGATATTTTCAGAACAGAAAAAGACTAGACAGCTCACCGGATAGGGTCCCTTCAACCTAATCTGGTCAGCATCACCGTAATTAAATAAACTGTTGTGGATTCCACCGGCCGACACGTTAATGTGACTGAGACACAAACCGCTCACTTGCAACCTCTGCCATGGTATCCACTTTTCTATTTTGCTTTGAAAGTTTGTCTCTGAGCCCCTTTTTGGCTGTTTGACTGTGACATGCCTGACTCCAGAGGACAACTGGGCAAACACAGATAACCGGACGTCATACAAATATCTCACCAGCCAGAGGATCACATGTCTGACATGCTTCACGGGTAGATGTTTTGATGTCACTCCCTCAGATTGAGCCGAAACTCACCATTCTGATGTTTGACAATCACAGAGTGCAAAGAGAGAAGCTTCTGTTCTGACAGCTGTGTGAATAAACCAGAATCCAACGCCCACCCTGAGGCATCTATTACACTTAGGGAAAGGATGTAACAATCCCTGCTCTTTGCAGAATGTGCCACTCATCATAATGCTGTTATCTGAAGGCAGCTTTCAGGTTTTTCAAGAACAGGTAAAAGACAAGAAAACCTCTTCTCTAAAGCTGCTCTCTCCTAAATTACTCCTGGTCAAGCTAATTGACAAGGATAACTGCATGATTTGGCCATCTACTGCCACCTAGTGCAGTAATTTGCGTTCTCCAGCCTCGTGAAGGCCCGGCTCACTTATTTTTCCTCCATCAGAGAAACACTACAAGATGTTTACTTTACCCTGGGTTTTCATTTACAGCAAGGTCACAGCCTTTCTCCATCGTCTTGAAGTGCTTGTTGCTGGGAAGATGAACCACTGTTTCCCAGAGGCGGTGAAGCTTTATTCTAAGATTGATTTCTGAGTAAGACTCTGTATTCTGTTGTACTCACATATAGAGAACATTAGTTAACCCTATTCACAACTTTCATGGTGCCATATGTAGAATATGTTGGACCCCAAGACAGAATATGTGCAAAATAGGTATTTATTATAGACTTTTATAGTATGTTAAATACATTTTCTGATAAGTTGACTTATTTTTGATTCCAAATGTGTGACAAATGTTCCTCTTTTTATATTTAAAAAAATGTTCAAAAATAAAAAAACAACACCTGTTACCTAAACCATCTGGCCTGGGGTCCAAAGACACCAAAAGTCCTGAATCGGGTTAAGAAAGCATTTAAACGATGGATTAAGTACACTTTGAGAGTTCAGAGGTTGTTGCATGGCTGGAAATGGTCTCAGAAAACTCTTGCATTATGTAGAGATGCGGGAAATATACAAAAATATGTCCATCTTATGTTGATCCCACTCGCACTGAGTGGACACAGAGGCACAACTCCTCGCCTGTTGTGGTCTAATTAATTTACCGCGGCTACAGGGCAGCTGAAGAACCCCCCAAAACAAAGCTTAATGAGGACTTGTGGGTCCCCATCGAGGTGATTTGCTGTCAGTGTCGGAGGCAACGCACCTGAGGTCTCCGCCGAAACCGATCACCGCTCCTTTCATTTCCACACAGGCCAGCCTATTTGATGATAGTCCACTGTGATGGCAAAAGTAAACTCAGCAGAGCCACAAATTAGGGAGTGACAAACTCATCCATCACCGTTGCCGGGGCGACAGTAGCCAAATACGTGCTGTAGCTTAGCAACAGTGTCTAAACAAAAGGCTCGCAGGCAGCGGGCTGATTTGTCTGGCTGGGTTCAAGATGAGCCGACCCGGCAGCAGCGTTGATGAAAAAGGGGTCAACCAAAATGGAGACCCAGGAGGTCATCTCTCCGTGTTTAGCAATACTCACACCGCAGCACTGACTACCGAAATAAGGCTACTGTCCGCTTTCAAGAGAGACACTCAGGCCAGGAAAGTTTATCTGGCAGGGAGAGGTGAGTGCGCTCAACCTGTTACTGCTTTTTTTCTTTCTACCTGCAGACAAGACGAGAGTAAAACAACAAGGTTTTGGAGATATTATCTGCTCTTACAGGTATTCTTAATGGCAAAAAAATGATAAGACAAATAGTGTGATCTTGGAGGAGCATCACAGAATAACAGAAATCTGTAATATAGCATGAAAATATATGCAGTCGTGTAGCTTTAATGATGCATGAGCAAAAATCAAATAATTAAATTGTCAGTTGTGGTTGTATTAATTATTGCTGATTCAATCTTGAGGTTCCTAGATGTTTTGTTTTTTTCTTGGAGGTATTAATATTTTGATGGACTCAATAAAATCAGTAACCAGGCCTACAGATTCCAGCAGCAGCTCCAGCAGCTGTGTCCATGGTTCATAGAAAACAAAGTGTTAGTGTGACTGCATCAGTAGAACACATTTTAAAGCCTAAAGATGGAGTTTCTTCTCACCATAATCAGCTGTTTGCATAATTACACACAGGTGCAGCTGGAGGCTCCACTGAGGAAAGTTTGCTGAAATTCTTTGTCTTATTGGAATGAAATCCTTTTATTTGTCGGCTCCTGAACCTTTTCATCTAAACCCACTATTCGTAGAAGTAAGGAGCAAAAGAATCAATCAGTCAAGACAAAGGATCACAAGAGAAATGTAAAAAAAACAGGAGTTCTTTTACTGAGTCTTCTCTGAGTTTGCGCTTACTATATATAACTGAGACGGGAGAAAGCTGTCATTGGGTGGGAAGCATGGACAAGCTGTAATGCCACAGTTCTAACACTCAGATACAAAAACAAAAAAAAACATTTAGAATGATATTCACACCTAGAACTAATTTAGACTGTACAGCTTACCATCCATGTTGCAGAAGGAGAAGATGCAAACTCCTTATAGAACGGTCCTCTCTAACGTAACAAGTTCAAAACCAACTGCACCACGATGCACGGTGAAGCTGTCACAATGTACAAACTCTTAATTCAAAAGACATATGAATAAAACCTTTCATCTAACAAAGTGTGCACCAAAGAAGTAATTAAAAAGTATGCGTTGAATGTACCAGCTGTGTTTCCACTACATTTATTCATCGCACCACAGCTGCATAGAAACCTCATAGAAAATGAACAAAACTAGTTTAATACTCACCTGCCAAGGCTGAAGTAGTTCGGATGTATGGTTGTCAAGATATGCAAAGAACAGACACACACACACACACACACACACACACACACACAAAGCGATTCCTTCATTTATTTGTGAGATTTCTAACAAAAAAAAAAAACAATGGAAATCTAAGAAGTGAGACAGCTGTGAGAACAGATCAAATATAAAGCTGAATTGGATCACTGAGACAAAGTTCTGATGTTGCACAGACTCATTTATAAGCCCGTCAAGGTCTTTGTGGACTAATCTTAAGAGCTGATCGTTTCAAATAAATTAAGGTCAGTGCAGTGTGAAAGAGGAAGAAAAAAAAATTTGACGATCTTAAAGGGAGATTATGCTGAGACGAGAGGAAGACTGTTTCTAGGCAGCAGATTTTAAGGAGGAAATGGTCAAAAGCTCATATTGATGTTAAATTGAGCTCCATTAAATGCAAGAGGTCTCCTTGAGGATTTCTTAAAGTTGCTGCAAGCAAATGAAGTCCTAAAATTGCACCTTGTTATTTTGTTATTTTGGTTCTGCCACACCGGTTTAAAATTTTTCCTAATTGTTCCTATTGGTTTGTTTCTTGGTGACATAATATTAACAAACATTACATTTTGTATGCATAGAAAACAGTGCAGTAGTTTTGCTTTATGGTGGACATTTTGACTGTATGATTATGACCTACCGTTGCCAGTTCGTTTCACAAGCAACTTGAAGTTCACTACAATGTTTAGGTGGATTAATCAGCTTTTACAACGACTGTCTTTCACAGAGTATTACAGCGAGGAAGGGAAGACCTTTGAACCGCATCTTGTTGGAAAAATAAAGCAACAGTTAAGTGCTGATCCCACTCTTCATCCAGAGTATCCATCTTCTTTCGGTCTGGTAGAGTTCATCCGGCAAGCCACACAGGTTGCTCTGGGGAGGAGCTCAAGGGCGATAGTGGAGAACCGGGTAATATTAGCACTCCATACACACTGTAACTAATTATACAGCTGCTGTGTATGTTCAGACCTTGTGTTTTCATGCTAACACACACAGAGGGGAAACCTTAGCCTGCAGCTATTCATTCCAATCATGCAGTCAGTCAGCACTGTATTAACTTAGAAGCACATAGTGGCTCGGTCGTTGACATTATTGCATCACAGCTAGAAGATCTCTGGTTTGCATCCCAATTAGGACACCCGGGATCTTTCTGCATGGGGTTTGCATGTTCTCCCCTTGCAGTGTGGGTTCTCTCTGGGTTCTCCGGCTTCCTCCAGCAGTCCAAAAACATGCAAAGGTTAATTGGTAATTCTCAATTGTCCGTAGGCGTGAATGTGAGTGTGCTTGTTTGTCTCTCTGTCCCCTGCCTTCACCTTAAGTCAGCTGGGATAGGCTCCAACCGCCCTGCAATTCTAATGGGGATTAAGCGGTGTATAGATGATGGATGGATGGATTTACGTTAAGCTTCAACTTCAGAGGAAATCAGTACACAACCAGCACTCAAGTGTCTAAACATCAGTCATGTTATTAACTCAACTGTTGTCGTTTCCTGGGTTTTTTTTGCAGGTGTTTGGTGTCCAAACTCCTGGTTTTAATGCTGCTGTACGACTTGGAGCTGAACTCTTGAAACACCTGTGTGATGTCAGTGCTGCTTGGTGTGGACCAGTTTACCTGTCGTTCCCTTGTGATGGTAAATAAAATATAACTTCCCCTGAAAAGAGTTTAAAGACACAACCACCAGTTTACTGGCTTTGAAATGCTGTGGCATGTTAAATTGCGCCTGCGATGATAAATAATAAATAATGTAGCTCATGATCCCAGTGTGAAGGAGTCAGCCGTATACACTATTGGTAATTATCATTACAGCTAAAGAATGATGCATACAGTTGTCCTCAGATTTATTCATACCCTCCCATTAAAAGAGGGAAAAAAAACAGCTGTCACTGAAATAAATAAAAATTTTATGAAAATTGTGACATTGCTTTTGAATTGTGGTTCAAGAGAAACATTTTATAAAACAAACAAAAAATCCCAAGCAAACAAGCATGATGGGACCCGTAAACTAATAATTTTGTTGACCAACCCTTTGAGCCAATCACTGCAATCAAGTGTTTTCTGTAACTCTCAATCAGACTTCTGCACCTGTTGACAGGTATTCTGATTTTGGCCCACTGCTCATCAGCAAAGTGCTCTAATTTGTCCGGGACAGCTTTGTTTGTTTTTTAAATTATTCTTTTCAACCACAATTTTAAAGCACTGTCTGATTTCACAAAACTGTAATTTAGCAAATTCCTGTTATTATTGCTTTTTTCCGTTTCTAGTTATTTGAGTGACTATTGTGAATTTTGCCTTTTCTTTAATGGAAGGTTATGAATACATTTGAGGATGAGTGTATGTGAACCATAATAATATATAAAGGGATGATGTGCAGACCTGTGTCCATGACAACACAATTACTCTGTACATCCAACAGGATATCAAAAAATCCATACATTTCAAGTAGTGTACATGAATAGATGATGACTGGCCATAATTCATAGAAACCCTTTGGCATACATGTCAGACATCCATCCATCCATGATCTATACACCGCTTAATCCTCATTAGGGTCGCGGCGGGGCTGGAGTCTATCCCAGCTGACTCAGGGTGAATGCAGGGGACACCCTGGACAGGTCGCCAGTCTATCACAGGGCTACACTTAGAGACAGACAACCAAGCACACTCACATTCACACCTATGGACAATTTAGAATCACCAATTAACCTCAACATGTTTTTGGACTGTGTGGGAGGAAGCCGGAGAACCCGGAGAGAACCCATGCTGCACGGGGAACTGGAAACATCCCGGTGCCCCCACCGGGATGCGAACCGGCGACCTTCTAGCTGCGAGGCAACAGTGCTACCAACTGAGTCACCTTGCAGCCCACATGTCAGACATTCACTTTTAAAATAGCTTAGATAATGAATATTCAAACAGGTTTTGTGGATATAGAATTTTTTGGATCAAAGTCATTGTATTTTTTAATGAATGCAATCGGAATAATGAACATATACACTATTCATAACACAATTTTTCTCCTTTCCCCCCCCTCCCCCCTCCTCTTCATCCCACCACACTACACCAAAAACACATCAGCCAGACAGAAATACAAATAACACCAGCAATAATAAGTGACACTAAAAGTCTTCTTTTTTCTGTATTTACAGGTAAGTTGAAAAAGGTTTCCAGACATCATAGAATTTCAGAACTGACCCCTTTATAGAATATCGCCTCTTTTCAAGGTGAATGCGGAACATAACCTCCTTATTCCAGGAGTCGTCTAGTGATGGTAGTGCTTCTTTCCAGTATCATTCTTCCACCTGGGAGAGTACAGAGGGTCACATCGGCCTGTAGCTTGCTCAAGTTTATGCTTCTTGTAATAACTCCTCCTAAAAATTCGATTGAAATATTACATAGTTTTGACAGGGTGCAGTCTTGTGTTAGAATAGTGAAAACAAAACACTGTTTTTTTAAAACTCAACTACTACATGTTTAAGACAAATAGACGGTGAGCATATTCGACAATTTTTTTTATTGCCAACACTTATCTGACATTTGTTTAGATTCTCGTCCCATTTATACTTGTGTGATTCTAGTCTTGTCAATTCATTTGTATTCAACAAGTCAAAGACGTTACCTATGGTTGGTTTTGCATCTGGTTTACATTATAAAGCAGAGTCTCGGAGGGAAGGAGGAGGACATAAAGCAAAACATTTTGAATTAGGAGTAGTGAAGATGATTTAATGGAGAATTTAAGACAGAAGCTAACGGTGACATTTTAAAAAAATCTGTGCAAAATATCAAAGTTGAGCACTATACAGATGTACAACCTGCAAAGTGCGTTCAATTATAGATTTTAAAATGGGCAGTGATAATATAATGTAGTTGGGCTGCACTCTTAATTTTCATTTTCTCTTAATTTAATTTTTTAAAAATCACAATATGATATGTAAAAATGTGAAAATGTGCTGTAGGTGACAGAGACGGCGGTTGAAACCTGTAAAAAATGCTTTATCAACTTGACAAATGTAGCCCAGACTGGAGGTCAAAATGTCAATGAATAAAAGTGTAGAATTACATGCTGGTGATGAGAAAGACATTGATCTTGAGGGGTTTGCACTGCTTTACTGCATCTAATGTAATGTTTTGTCTTCTTCCTCCCTGCAGACTCATTGGCCAGTATCTTCCAGGCAGCAGGGATCCAAGATATCCGTCAGTATTATTACTGGGATGACAAGCAGCGGGGCGTTTGTTTGGAGAAGCTTCTGGCGGATTTGGAGAGGGCTCCAGAGCAAAGTGTTGTTGTTCTGTCGGCATCAGCCCACTACCCAACCGGAGCAGATCTCTCTCACAATCAATGGGCCGTGATTGCAGAACTCATCATGGTAAATGACATGTACATTTATGCTCCTTAACAGAGGCTAAATTTGCTTTTTATCACACAAAGTGGCTCCTACCTCCTACTTAGAGTCTTATTTCTGGTCTCTGCACTGTTTTCAACAGAGGCGTAGACTTTTCCCTTTCCTCTTGCTGCCTGCACAGGCGCTCTGCTATGGAGATTTAGAGCGGGATGCTTGGCCTGTACGGTACTTTGCATCGCAAGGAATAGAGGTCCTCTGTGCTCAGTCATTCTCCCATTGCTTTGGATTGTACGGTGAGAAAGTAACATAAAGAATACTGCAAAAATGTATGTGCACTAAAAGAACCCCCAAGTCAAACATAGCGCATGTAGGGTCAGTATATTAGCATCCAAGAGGGTCCATTAGAGTCTGAGTAAAGCAAATTTTGTCTTCTGTCCAGTCCACGAGAGATGTTCATGTACATCCCAAAATATGTGCCCAAGCAACGGTTAACATAAGAATAACTTTGCAAATGTGCATGCGTGGAATACTAGATACACCTGCTGTGCATGTAAGTCCCCTCAACTTCTCAGATCTCCTCTCAGTGGACACGAAGCAAATGCCCTTGAAGGGTAGTTGCCATGCAGAGACAAAATTTGGGCAAAGGGTTACGTGTGAAGAGTTCATTTGCAAGAACAGACGACTCCATTTTTGCAGATTTTCAGTAAACTTATTTTTTTTGTTGTTTGCTTGAGACAATATCAATCAAACTGACGGTGAGTGGGTTTGACTCAGTAGAAGTGATATGACAAAAATAGAGATAACTCAGGTTTGATTGATATTATCTCAGGTAGACAATGGAACAGTGGGTTTTCTGAAGGCTTTGTGAAAATGGAGTTATCTGTTTTTGCAAATGAACTCTTCATGTAGACTCTTGTGGATTTGGTTAGATGATGAATTTCCATCATGCATATTGCTTATTTGTGGACATGAAAAGTAAAACCTTTATTCTACTTCTGTGTGGATGTGAACACAGATACCCAAGGATGCACAGTAGTTGTGTTTACACTGTTTCTCTGGTCTGCTTGTGTCTGCTTGAAAGATTCTACTGCCTACATGCTCAGCAGGCCGTATGAACATCTACATCTATACACACCACTGTTGAGCGTATGCAGTATTGCTCTTGCAGCAACGTCAATAAACCGAGATTGGCCTAACGACAACAACAACAACTACATTATCGTGGTGTCCATAGCTGTCTGCGTGCACATCTCCAGCAAAATATAATCAAAGCTTAAGGCCAGTGTTTTATTTCACTTACATCGATGTAAAGTAAATTTCATCATCTTTCCAAATTCACAAGAGTCTGCCACATGCAACCTTAAAATATGGGTCGACCACGCCACGAGGCTCTTCTTCTAAGTGGACTCCCACGGGCTACAAAAGTAGCTGAAAAACAATAACTGCGTGTCCACAGATTTCCATGTGTGTTCATACCAGGGTCTAATCAAGGCTTTAGACTGTAATCTGTGATGTCAAATCAACAAACTGTAAAGCCCGGAGCTGTTCTGCTTTCACAAAGGAATACAGCAAGTCAGTCTGAACTCAGTGCTCTTGTCTTTTGTGCAGACAAAAGAGGTTGGCCTCACATACAATAGACAAGAACAACAATATATTCATGTTTATCTTAACTATTGATCATCAGGAGACGCATCATCATCATTTGAGTCATCTGTCACGTGTTCTGCTCCCTTTAAATTCTTCTCTTTGCTTTTTATCAGCATCAGCTAACTCACAGAGTCACATCCACTTCTTACTTGTTTCTGTTTGACCCCCTCAGTAGCCACCTGCACTGAAGTGAGTGGTTTATTTTTCCAATACAGAAATGTCCCTTTATGACGTATTTTCAGAGCTAGCTTTACCAGACGCACTAATGTTGGGAAATCGTATTTCTTCACACCAGACTCATGTTCTTCTTGCCTTCGCCAGGTGAGGCTGTTGGGCACCTCCTGTGCATCTTGAAGCACAACTCCCTCCTGTTATCGGTGCAGTCACAGGCTGACAAAATAGTGAGATCACTTTGGGCCCAGCCATCCGTGGGAGGAGCGCGTGTTGTCGCCACAGTGCTCAGCAACTCAGCGCATCTTGTTGAATGGTGCGTCACTTATAGGATTCTTCTGCTTTTTAAAGAATTTGGCTTGGACACAAGCGTGTAGAGATGGCTAGAAGATGCCTCACATTATATTTCTAAAAATTTGTCCACTGTATTTGCAGGCAGGGTGACGTTAAGCGCATTGTCGAGAGATGCATGCTGATCAGAGCCGTCCTGAGAGAAAAGCTGAGGCTTCTGGGAACTCCAGGCTGCTGGGACCACCTGACTCAACAAGGTGGACTCTTCTGTTGTACAGGATTAAATGGTGAGAAACAGTACAGGACAGTCATTTTTTAAAGAGCTATTCTTCTCATGCTCTAGAAGAGCAAATGAGTCACTGCACATGAGGACAAAAGTAAAGCACTGAGATTCATTATTCATTTCCTTAGCTCTTGCTTTTTAGTGCTCCTCTGTGTGGTCCTTTGGAACAGTTAATCGACATCGGTGGTACATTTTTATATAATCATGAAGTCAAGGTCTGACATCCTGGCTCTCTCGGAACAGGATTTGGAAATACTGCACTTTATATGCAGCCAAGAACTGTGTTTGGTTCACTTTATGTCTGTAAAAGCTACAGGCCTTTATCATAATCAGACTTCATTAAATCAGTATTGATGTCTCGATGATTTTGCCATCAAAGACATATGTGGTGATTTTTCTTGGTGATTTTTTAATTTGATTGTTCATCAAAACATATGATTGTTGAAGGTATGATTATTTATTGTTTGTCCAGATGGATGTTTTGTTTAAATGCTATCAGTATTTTACAACAAAAACCATTATGTTATCATAAGCACCCCACTGATATATTTCCACTGTGTTATCGACTGTTTTTTTCTGTCCATTTTAGGGCAGCAAGTAGAATTTCTGTCAAACTGCAGACATGTGTACCTGCTCCCCAGTGGCTGTCTGAACGTGAGTGCAATCAACAGCCGTAACCTGGACTATATAGCTGAGTCTATCCGCCTGGCTCTGACCACGTCACTCTGATCGGCTGGCTTTTGATCAAGATCTAAAATCGACATCAAAAATCTACGTCTCAGCCTAACTAAGACACATTGTGACTGAACCTTTTATGTGCTACTGAGAAATGTTCGGCTTCCAGTTCGTTGTTACTGTTGCACCTCTTGGAAAGTAAATGCTAAAATGCTGATAAATATACAGACACAGATGTAGCGTGTAGTAGTATTACTTAATTAATTGTTGTTTATATTTCTCAGCAGAAATGTAGACATTAGTTACTGACAGAGAGCAGAATGTGATCGTCTCTTACTACATTTGTGTAAAACTAAATGTACGTGTCCTGTGTGTGGTAAATAGAGTAGGTCAGCCATGCAAATTAAACAGCAGTGGACATCTGTGGACTGGTTGTATTGTTAAAATGTGTTCTTTATCTGCTTCTGTCTGCGGCAATACACTGATATTTAAGACTTGATTCAAGTGTACATTTATATATTCACACTTCAAATATGTGAGCTTAGCAAAATCACACATTTTCACACAAACACCCTCTCCCAGCATACATACTACAACAAAGGTCAGACTGTAAAAATGTCTGTTTGACCATATATTGGACTATTTCTTGGGTGAGGAACCAAATGTTGTTTTTACATCTCAGATTTTTTTCTAATTAAACATGTATCAGCTGTTAATTGAGCGCTTGTAGAAAGATGTGTCCTGAGGAAAGAGCCAGACTAGCTGCTCCACCTTGGTTTCAGTTTTAAGAAGTGCAGCTAAACGTATTTATGCTAAGCTAACAGATGTTAAACATTCATTTCAGAGCTTTTGTCTCCTTATTCTGGCGGTGAGAGTAATTACACAAGCACTGTCAATGTGAATTTATGGCGTATGTCTGATCATCATTTTCTTTTTTTTTGAGTCTTTTAATTTTTCTTCTGGAACATTGCATGAGACGGTCTCAGGCCATGGTTCTCTCCCACAAACCGGCAGATTGCTTCCTCCAGGGTTTTGGGGGGCAGCACATGTCTTTGGATCTTGTTCATGAGTGACAGGAAAATCGAGCGAGAAATGGAGAAAAGGCTTGGTGCAGCATCATCAGCAGAGCAGTCTTTCTACTGGACTGCGAGGTGTCGATTTACCGGTTGGTCTTTGTTCCAGCCTTCATCTGTAGTTATGAGCTCTGGGCATTGACTGAAAGAATGAGGTTGTGGAAAAAAGTATTTGAAATGAGTGTTCTATGCAGGGTGGCTGGGCTCAGTCTTGGAGGTAGTGTTAGGAGCTCAGACAAGGGTATCTAGAGTATCAAGATGTGACCTTCCACAAAGAGATTGTAAGGCTCGAACATCGCTGGACCAAGCGCGTTGAATTTAAAGGAAAGCATGTTGATAAATAATGCAAGAACAATCTTTGTTCTTATTCTGGTGAGGCCTTGAAGTTTTTAAAGCACCCTCATATGTATGATATTCAGTGGACAAATATTAAAATGGTTTCAGTCTTCTCAAACAAGTTTTTCTCATGTCAAACTATGACCTCTATTGTAAACATGTGTTGGTGAATAACGTCCTGTATGGACATGAGACATGCTATATTCAACTGCCTGTTCATTGAGTTCATGTGTTTTTGTAAAAACAAGGATCATGTGATACCTTTGTGTGGCTGTACATTGTTAGAAACAACACAGTGTGTACATGATGCCCAGTCTCAGCAGCATTCAGTCAGAAGCTTTCCTGCGGCTCAGCGGTAACCTTTACGGGAACAAGCAACCATATATTGCTTTGATACTCTACCAGCTGCATGAATTCGTTGCCGTGAACATGAGTCAGAAAAATAACTTACAAATGTATTGAAAGGACACGCTGTGTACAAAGCGCGCCTCAGCTGCCTTTATAATTCGTCTGGCTTTCCTGAATAAGCAACCTTGACTGTGCATCTTTAAAGCGATCTTGTGTAACACGTATTCATTCGCAAGCTTGATTTTCAATCAAGCCAGTACGTCAATTTCTGGTCTCATATTGCAAATTTCTTCACTATTAATTTCTAAAGTCACATCTGACTGCCAACATGTGAGAAAGATCCTATTTGAAGATCAGGGTAGCCAGATCATTTTCCTTTAAATCATATTATTTCCAGATAATTTCCCTGATGTAGCAGGTTTCAGAACTTTCAACTCTGTTTTTTTTTTTTGCGTTGGATTATTTTGAGCGGTTATGGTCTGAATAATGTTTTAGAGCATTTTCTTTCCACTCAACTAGAATATTTACAAATTATGTGAATGTATTATACAGCAAATGACTGGTCATCTGGAAACATCAGGGAGCAATCCTGTCCTCCTCCATGCACATCTGTGTGACAGTAATGGAGCAATACAAAAATGAACGCCATTTTCCGATTTTGTAAAAGAAAAACATACCTTTTTAGAAAACACACAGCTTTTATCTAACTAACTTTATATCCTCAGGAGCCCTTTTTTCATTTGTCAGATATGCCATTACTGTCACTGCATGCTGTTTGGTTCTGACAAACAGGTTGCGAAAAGATATTTAATGGAGGCAGTGTGCTCGCTCTTTTTATTTCAGTGACCCTGGATGAACAAGAGAATAATCAACATGCACCATCATACAGAGCCTGAGCCATTAGGTCCTCGCAGGACCCCTTTGATTTGCATCTGAGCATGCCCGAATGTACACGCTGCAGAAGGTGTTTGCTCATATCACAGGTTTCCAGTTTGTGAGACGCTGTTTACACCCATGTTCATATTACACACGTTATTCCCACATACATGAAGACAGAGGAGGACCTAAATATAAATGTTACACAGATGTTGTTGTGAACACAGAAGTTGTCCAGACTGCAAAATCTAACAGGAAAAAGGTGCTGCTTGCCTTTCAACAGTTTTTTTCCACAAATCATTCATTTTTGGACCACGACTGGATTTATTCACTGGAGTGTGCTAAAAATGCATCGGATTCTCAAAGAGTGCATCTGTAGTTCTAGTTGTTTGAAATCTAGACAGATGTCAGTACCTATGGGATTTTTGTAAGGCATTTTGTAAGGCACAGTTGTTGTTTTTTTTTGTTTTTCTTTTAATGCAAAAGACTTTGCTAATGTTAATGAATTATTTACTAATGCTTTATATATAAATCCTTGTTATGCTCAGGTTTTAAGTATCACATTTTTGTTTATAAGGATCATATCCATATATTTTGCACATCTGGATAAGCCCTTTTCATGGGTTTGAGAAACCTGAATATGCTAACTGAAAGAAACTGCGATACTGTCTGATGTTTCCATGACATTCAGATGCAAAATGATGAAGCAATGAATTTTTCTCTTTTGGAAATAACAGCGTCACATGCATATTTGATCATTTAGATGAGGAAAGAGCACTCAAAATGCTGACCTTATTAAGTCTGCAGTGAGACAGAATGATAAAATTCATGTACAGTTGGTCAAGTCTGGTCTATAGTAACAGTAAAATGTATTTATGGGCAGTGGTTTCAGGAACCACAGATTCATCTTTTTGAAGCTAGTCAGGAAGCTGGGGTCAGAGTGCAGGGTCAGCCACACTAAGGTGCCCTTGGAGCAAATAGTGTTAAAGGCCTTGCTCAGGTGTGCAGCAGTGGCAGCTTGGCGGTGGTGGGACTTGAACCTCTGACCTTCCAATTAGCCCCAACTAATGAACCGCCACTACCAAATGTAAAACCACTGCTTGTATTTGCGTCTCATCCTTCCTTAGGGGTCACACTACTCTTCTTTGTATTAATTACTATTTATCGTATATGCAGCCTGAGCAAGCACAAACGAAAAGCATATCTCTTATGTGATCAGTCCTAGGATGTGCCTCGTAACAGGGACACTCACATCCATCATGTCTTCAACAAGCTATCAAATATGTAATTATGAATAGTAACTCAGAGGAAAGAAAAATCCTAAGATCTCTTCTTTCTCCTGAGAAACAGCCTCTCTCTGGTCTCAGCCAGATCCAATTTAAGATCTTAGAATGCACCTTTTTCCTCTGTTTCCATCACTGCCGTGACCTTTATTTGGTTGAAATAGACCAGCTCTTGAGACAACAGCAAGATACAAAAGAAAACTTAATTGGCTTATAAATAAACCTGCACAGTATCAGAGTTTGCTCTCAGTCATTAAATTCAAATCTCAGCTCTCTAAACTGTATGTGTTCTGGGAGTTCACTCATTTCTAAAATCTACACAACTTCAGTCAGCTCACTAAAACAAAGAGTTTCTGGATTTGTGTGCCTTCTCTTTGTATGTCTTGACAAATATGCATGCAGTGTTTGACAGTCTTGGCAGGTGTACTGCTGGGGAAGGAAGAGCAGCGTTGAGTTTGGAGTAGTTTAGATGAGCAGTGGACCGTGACAGACGGCGCTGCAGCAGTTTTGTTGATTTTCTGTGTAACTCAGAGGTTTCTAATGTGCTGAGTAATTAGATGAAACGCTGCAGGAATATTTGGCAATTACTTTTTATAGTCCTATTAAGTGCACGTTTAGATATAAGCGTTATTCATATTTCTTTAGAATTTGTAATAAATATTTTGTGGGTTATGACAGTTTTACAGGAAAGTACTGTGGTGCCATAATTAGCACCGTCACCTCGCAGAAAGGAGGTTCTGGGTTCGGGACAGGTCAGAATTCAGTAATCTCCAAATAAGAGGATGATTTCATTCGAATGAATTTTCCTCTGAAAGGTTATTTGAAAAAAAAAAAAAAGTGAAGTCACTTCTGGCAACGTGAAAGCTCATTTTATCAATGACTTTTCTGATATATATAATATAAAATCACAATGACCTAATGAAGATTCTCAGTATTGTTAAAGCACATTGTCGTGCTAAGAGAAAGTAACATACACATATACAGTTGAAACCAGAAGTTTACATACACTGTATTAAAAGACATGTAACCTTTTTTTCTCACTATCTGACAATAAATCAGATTAAACTTTTGCTGTTTTAGGTCAGTTAGGATTACAAAAATTATTTCTATTTGCTAAACGCCAGAATAATGACACAGA